CCCAGGGCTCGCCAGGCACACACCCCAGACCACGGCGGGGCCGAGGAACAGGGCAGGGGCCACGGTGACCTTGAGGCTGGGTCCATTTGAGCAAGCGCCCAGGGAACCCGCCTGAGGGGCAGCAGCCTGGGGCGGCTGGGCCTGGGGCCCACTGACCAGCCAGAGGCCCCCGGTGCCGGGGGACGGCTCCCCCAGGGCTGGACCCAGCAGGGCCCTCACGAGGCCAGACGGGAGGGAAACAGAGCCACGGAGCTCGGCGAGGCCCTGGCCCTATCCTGCCAGGTGTCCAGGGGCAGGAGGCCTGGCCGTCGCCCATCCCCTGTCCTCAGGCAGCCTGCCCAGTCTGGGCCAAGCTGTCATGAACATTCCCGCAGGACAAGCTCCGCAGAAGCCAGGACTGCCTCCCGGGAAGGGTCCCCGCCACCCGGCACCCCTCGCGGAGTCAGGCGGGCAGCGCCAGCCACACGACCACAGGGTGGCCAGGAGCGGGCTCGGCACAGCCCCGCCCAGGCTGCCTGGGACCTGTGGCCTCTAGGAGGGCAGCCTGGACAGCGGGAGTGGAGGCCGCGAGCCTGGCACAGGCTGGAGCCTGTTGGGCCAAAGTCGCGCCGCGGCCCTCAGAGCAGCCCTGCCCCAAAGGGCCTGCCGCCCAGAGCTGCCCGGGTCGCCAGCCACGGGCCCCAGCTAGGACCCGGCCCCACACTGCCCTCCAAGGCCCCCCACCACCAAGGAGCCCCCGTTCTCAGCCACGAGGACAGGCTCTGGGCTCCCACCGGGCCACTCTGGACCCTGGAGCCCTGCGCCGTGCAGGGCAGAGCCCGCGACTCAGCAGCTGGCCAGGAGGGGACGGTCAGGCCAGCGTCTCCCAGGGCTGCTCCTGCAGGGTGCTCCGTGTCGCCCCTCCCCGCAGCAGCAGGCGGGAGCCCCGGCGCCTCCGCACAGCCGGCCTGCAGGGCTGTCTCGGGCGCTGGGGCCGCGGGCCACGGGCAGGGCGGGCGTCCCCTGGAGGGGCCAGCGCCCCCTCTTCCCGCTGGTCCCGGGGCCTGCCGGCACCCTCCCTTCTCTCCAGCACCTCCTCAGAGGCAGCCCAGCACCCCGGCAGGAGGCTTCGCCCCATCCCGACGCAGGGCGCTCTGAGGCTGTCCCCACACTGCTTTCTCGCTGCTCCCGGCGGGCCTTACACCCCGGATCTACTGAACTCGCGCCCCTGCGGTCCTCCAGGGCCGGGGGCGCCCACCAGCCTCCACCACTGCACACCCCAACTCAGGGGCCCTTCTGGAAAGGGGGTGCTGTGTGTGCCCCACCTTGCCCCACAAGGGACGAGGCGCCAGGGCTGCTTCCCCACAGCTCACCACCCCTGCCAAGCAGCGCCCTGTCTGCCTCCGGCCTGGGGCGGTGCCCTCCGCCCCTGCCAGGGGCGCCTCTGCTGCCCACGCCCCCCGGGGGCTAGCACATGCACCGCCCCCGGCCCCAGTGCTGGGCTGCCAGGCCCCCCCAGGACAAGCTGGTGCTCGGCCAAGGAGGGCCCGGCCCTTAGCCACAGACAGCAGGGAGCAGCAGGTGTCTGGGAGGACCCGGAGGGACCCCGCCCTCCCAGCGAGGCATTCACTGAGGGCCCCAAGACCCTCGAGGCACACAGCCGGCTCCAGCCCCAGCACCCCGGGGGCCGCAGGCCGGCTCCGGCCACCTGTGCCCAGACAGCTGCGGCCCGCCCGGCCGCCAGACCTCTAGCCCGGCGGAAGATGCCCAACTTGGGCCCCCAGCCGGACCCTCCCCTGCAGGGGTGCTGCCCGGGTGGGTGCCAGCCCCTCCCGGGGGAGGTGCCCCCAAGCCTGCAGCTTTCTCTGGCGTTCCCAGCAGCCCTTGCTCGCACCTCTGCTCTGCGGCAGGTGGGTCACTCTTGGTGAGCAGCGCTGCCAGCACCCCACCTCGGGCCAGAGGAGCAGTTTTCTGGTTTCTGGGGCGCTCAGTGCCGCTTGGTGGGGGGAGGACAGGCCCCAGGAGGGCCCCACCGGCCCCAGGCAGACGCCCGCCGCCTGTCCCCCCCCACCAGGCACTTCGCAGACCCGGGGCTCTGCTCTGGACCCCGCGCCGCCGCCTCAGCTCCAGGACCGGCCTCTTCCCTCTC